TAAGAGAAAAAAGAGAGTAATATACGATTGCCATAAATCCAATTGAATGGAACTCATTTAAAGGAGATTACCGATTTACTCTTTAGAAATAAATATTTTTTAGAATTTACGGCGTACCACTCGAAACTCTTTGAGATACATTAAAAAATGTCCGATTGATATTACAGTCGAGGATCAATCGATCAGTGACTTATTTTTTTTCAGAAAAGTCAAGTTTTCTTTTTCTTCTTTTTTTTTTGGTCCTTACACACTTTCATCGTCTTGCCGTATTTTTATTCTAATGTTTATCGAAAAAACTTGTCTTAAATTTTTAATAAAGAAAATAAAACCTTATATAACTCACATTCTAGATATTATATATTTCATTTTATCGAAAATCCGATGTTACGTATATACGATCGAATCTATGACATATCGAGTATCATATTCAGCATGTTGGAATAATGCCTTGCGTTTAGCTATCTCACTCACTCTTGAATAAATGAGATCCTTTAGGTGTTTCGCAAGCACGGAAAGGTCAAGAGGGTTGCAATTTAAAATCGAATCGAATTGACTCGAGTCGAGTCGAGTTGAGTCGAGTCGAGTCGAGTCGAAAACTTCTGCCTCCGTTATTCTCCGCTCTTTCTTCTTTATTCTCGTCATCGTTGACGTCGAATTTTCTTGGTGAATATCAAACAAGTTTAAAATTCGCAGGAGTTCGCAGCTACGCGCTGTATAGACGTTTGACTCGGCGAAAAAATCTGTAGAATTGGCCAATATTTTTTTTTTTTTTTTTTCACTCTTATTCAACTTTGACAGGCATCACTTTTCCGTCTCCTTCCCCACTTTTTTCTTTTCTCTTTTTTATCAATTCTTTTATTTCAATTCTTAGCGAGACGAAAACATAGGGGCTTTCCTTCAAGCATGAACTAAGATCGATTTTAGACTTTTAGATTCAAATGTGAGCCACTATCAAGAGCAACGCATGTTGTCTCTTTTAATCATTCGAACCGTGTGTTTCTGACAGAACATCGAATTGATTTACGCATGTACACATACACACATATATATATATATATACATAACGGGGTATGCAACTATAATATCACGAATCTTGTTTCTCCCTGACGTAGAACACAAATTCAACTCTTTGGTTTTGATCGCAAGCCATTCTCTCTCTCTCTCTCTCTATCTCTCTCTCTCTCTCTTTCTCTCTCTTTCTCTCTCTTTCTTGTATTCTATCCAAGAATAAATGTTCACAAGAAAAAAATAATTGTAATATGTAAGTTATCCATACTTTACATAAGAGATAGTTATTATAGAAGGGAAAATATATATATATATATATATTTTAGTATATATCTGTATTTATATATATTATAGAAAATAACAAAAGAAATCTGACAAACGACATTTTTAGTAACGATCAATGTAACGTAATTAACTCGTCATATATGTCTCGTACAATCGAGTTTGTCACGTGTTAAGACGAAGAGAGAGGGTGTGATCTAATACTCGAGAGAGCATATATCGTAACCCTCTCTGCTCATATATACCCATGTGTTCTCGTGTGTCAAGCAAAGTCCTGTGATTGACACATAGCCGATACAGGAACGTTCGCTAATACAGTGATTGGGATCTATCCACGGCAGGAAATATTATATTACGTATGTTCTCTCCGTTCGATCGAAAAAAAGAAGGAAAAAAAGATAGAAAGAAAGAGATTGAGAGAGATAGAGATAGATAGATAGATAGAGAGAGAGAAAGAGAGAAAGGGGGAGGGGGTGAAAGAAGTTAAAGAAAACATAAGGGGACAAAATCAGAAGGGAGATGCCTTGGAAGAAGGGCTCGAAGTAGAGTACGACGATGACGATGACGAGGACGAGAACGAGAACGAGGACGAAGACGACGACGAGGAATCCCTCGAGTTGTTTTTCCGCATGGATTGCAGAAAATTTACGCTCGTTTTTCCGCTCTTTCTCCTCTACGTTTATCACACGAGCGACGTTGCGTTGCCGTCGGAACATTGAGTTTGCATAGGACACGCCGGTCGTTAGGTTGAGTAAACTTACTTCCAACATTTTGCGGAGAAACTTTTTTTTCTTAAAACTCCTAACCATTTGTATACTCCCTCTCGTGGGAGATGAACGAATTTGATACATTCTCGGGCAGATATGTATATGTATATAATTTGCGGGCAGATATGTATATGTATATAATTACATGTACATAATATATGTATATGTATATGTATATAATTTTTTTTCCCTAACCCACATCCGCTTTTACGTAATATCGAATATATATATATATATATATATATATATTTTATATATATATATTTATCTCTATATATATATTTATATATATATATTTTATATATATATATATTTATCTATATATATATATATATATATATATTTTTATATATATATTTATCTATATATATATTTATATATATATATTTTATATATATATATTTATCTATATATATATATATTTATATATATATATTTTATATATATATATTTATCTATATATATATATATATATATATAGATAAATTTTAAAATGAATTAATAAATAAACAAATAAATAAATAAATTATCAAATAGAAATTTATATATTATAACTATAATGCATTATATACTTACGTAAATGTAAAAGCATATGTTTGATCGTATGAACGGAATACAAAGGTATTAATAAAAATAATACTCTAGATAATTAATTCGCACGTTCCAGCTGATCCCTGGCTTAGCTAAAAGAAATATATATATATAGATAAAGAAAGAGAGAGAGAGAGAGAGAGAAAGAGACCCGTCTGTCTTTTTATCGTACATAATAACCACGCTTTTCTATTTCATATGCCACTTTATTCGTTTCTTTCGATTAATATATCGGCTGATATCGAATCTCATAAGAAATTCGTTCAATCTAGAAACGGCGCGTAAATTAGAATGTAAAAATCATATTACATATCTAATTAATATACTCTAAACCGGATAATTAAAATTCCCAACGAGTTTCTCTTTTGAATTCTACGGTAATATTTTTTATTCGAAAGCATATCCTAACCGTGTTGAACTCTAACGGTATAAAACTTTTCATCGAAGGAATTTAAAAAAATTAAAATCGAACGTTTATATTTTCAATATTATACTTTTATTACGAACATTAATCAAATTTAATGAAATTTTTACCATAATCGTATCATTTATCTTGGACTAAAGAAAAAAACAGTATATATATATATATTCGAGTCGATTGATGTTAGCAACAAAATGCAATCGGATTCGTTGCTATAAACGTTATATACGAAGAGGAAGGTTATTTGGATGAGATTCTAATGCGCGTTACGATCATGGTTCTGTCGCTAGTTCGGTCTAGACGTATATATACCGCATAGGTTTGGCTGCGTAACCGCAAGCGGACGAAAATGGTTCCGTTACTCTGATGCAACCCTTCCTTCCAATCGCTCTCTCTCTCTCTCTCTCTCTCTTTCTCTCTCTCACTCTCTCTTACTCTTTCTCTATCTATCTCTCTCTCTCTCTCTCTTTCTCTCTCTCACTCTCTCTTACTCTTTCTCTATCTATCTCTCTCTCTCTCTCTCTCTTTCTCTCTCTCACTCTCTCTTACTCTTTCTCTATCTATCTCTCTCTCTCTCTCTCTTTCTCTCTCTCACTCTCTCTTACTCTTTCTCTATCTCTCTCTCTCTCATCCTCTCTCTCCATCTATCTATCTATCTATCTATCTATCTATCTATCTCTGTCGTTCTCACTTTATCCTCTCGCAGTACCGCGGACATATATGTATAAGGGTGGACAGAACTGAGGAGAGAGAACATCTCGCGCCGCAACAATGTCGATGACAACGGCAAGTTATGCGAGCTATGTGACCACGACCATTTCGTCGGATGGTCACGCGGTAATACCGACCAATAGGTATGTTGTTCGATGAACCCTCATGTATCTCGTTCTCTCTCTCTCTCTCTCTCTCTCTCTCTCTTTCTTTCTCTCTGTAATGTCCCTCTCTCCCTTACCTTCTCTTTCTCTGGATCTCCTTGAACGTCGATAGAGATAGAATGGAATTCCTGATTGATCGATAAAGTACTTACTACATACGTCTTTGATCATGTCTATATTCTTGAACATATCAAAGAGTAAAATCAATAATAATTATGATCTATTATATTATTATCTCTTTTAACAAATGTTTTTCTTACGTTTTATATTATTTCACAGTTAACATTTATATTATTTCACAGTTAACATATTCGCGTATTATTTCAGAGTTAACATATTCCCCGTTTATCCGATGAAACTCACTAATTGATTATTCTATATAATTTCAAAGAATCATATTATATTTTTATAATTGAATGTTACTATTTTTTTTGTTATTTACGATGTGTACGAATAGAAAAAGAAGTATTGTTGCTCGATATCACACTTGTAATCATTTGTTGTTTTAAATTAAAAAAAAAAAAAAAAAAAAAAAAAAGAAAAGATGAAAAGAAACTTTTAATGTTTGATGAAAATTTATTGTAAATATTAAAATTGAAAGATTATTGGTTTAAATACGTTAAATATATCTTTTTTTTGTTTTTGAAAACGACGAATATAATGAATTTATTGCAACATTTTCACGAACTTGTTTATTTTAAATAATAACTTCATATCGTATTTAATAATAATTTAAAATATAAAACATATTGATATATCATGAAATAATAATAAAATTTAACATATTTAACGATAAAATTTAATAAAATTAAACGAAATTAGATAACCAGATTAACAATTAAAACTTAATATTTAACGATAATGTTCTTTAAATATAAAAGAACATTTGAAAAATCTGTTCGATACGTGAATGATTTAAAAACTGCTATAATCTTTATACTTAAAACTGCATTTATCTATCGATTTTAAAATGACGTAGGACTAAGTTACACCGTTATATTAGAGCTAAAAATTATGTTTTGGATTGACGTGGGACTATGTTATACTGTTATGTTTAAATTAAAGATTTTCAAATCAACTTAAAACTTCATTATCGGTATTAATGTTTTAATAATAAAAAATTAAAGGGACTTTATCGATATTAATCGCTTTCGATAATAATCGATAATAATCGCTTTGTATTGTTCAAGTTAGCAGAGATATTTATATTAGTATTCTAGTTAGAGGAAACACATGGCATCTCTCTCTCTCTCTCTCTCTCTCTCTCTCTCTCTCTCTTTCTCTCTCTTTCTCTCTGTGTGTGTGTGTAAATTTCTATATGTACGTCGAAATTATAGAAATTTTGTGGTAGCGGGCATTAATACGTGTACGAACAAGCTCATATATACCTTGATGCAATCGAGTGCATATCGATTAATGCAGTTCGCTTTATTACTCGGAGAATCGAGATTCATCGATGTGACGTGACTGTTGCACGAAACGCGATGAAAGCCTGTCAACTATATTACACTAATATAGAAGTGTATTCCATTTAACTACGTAATATCTCGTTCTTTTGATCTTCATTTACGGAACAGACCATTTAAGAACGCTATCGATCGTATATCTACCATCACCAGCATTCGTTATGTAACATATGTCTGATTTGATAAACGATATCGTTCGACAAGGAAGATTTAATGAGACGCATAGTACAGAGAGAAATCAACGTACAGTTTACATAACATAGATTGGACGTTATTCACTATGTGTTTGTAAACACATCGTTCATCGTTCATATAGATCTCGTTTTCGTTTATTGACAATCGTTGATTGCTTGACTGCCATTTTGCAATTTTGTATTAATCGATACATTCATCTAATAATATTTTACGTATAACAACAAACGTCTAAACAAATGATACGACGAAGTTCATTTTTTTTTTTTCGTATTTAGCTTGATCATAACATTTTATAATTTAAATCGAAAATTTATTATTATTTTAATTTTGTAGAAAATTTTCTAAATTGATTGTGAGATTTAAGATGAATTCTAAATGTTAACAGAATACAGTTACAACGTTAAAATTTTCTCTTAATACTCTCTTTTATCCATCAATAGTTATTAGATACGTGTACATACGTACTTACATTTAATAAGAGTTAATCGAACGATACGATACAATATGGGCTTATTTATGTGTAAATGCGAAAATTTCGAATAATCGGGGACTTCGTATATGTGTGTAAATATAACGGGAAAACGGCAATCCCATTGATCGAAGAAACATTCTTGTAATTCTATTTATGGTCGACGGTGAAATGTATTTCGACGAGTTAGGCGCTATAAAATCCTACGAAAGGCACAAACGCATTACTCGAGATGGCACGCGTTTAAATTAACCGAATAACGTGTTTCTACATTTCTTCATGAAATGTAGTAAGTACTTACGTATACCGCAACGTTCCATCGACTTTTGATGTTTGAAGATAAATCTCGAAACATTATTTACTGGTAGCAGAAAACACGACGCTCGTAAAACTAAAAGATAAGAGGAAGGAGAAAAGTAGTGGTGGCATTGAAAGAGAGAAAAAGAGAGAGAGAGATAGAGAGAGAAAGAGAGAGAAAGAGAGGGTGGGGAATTTAATCTTATCTTTGTTCACTCTTTACGTTGTTTTCTATTTTGAAAATTTTTCTACTTGAAAAATTGTTTTCTATTTAAAAATAATAGAATCATTACACGCGAAATGACTTCTCTTTCCGGTTGAATAAAATCATTATTCTTTACCATTTAACAGGGATCATCGTGAAATCTGTCAGATACAATTTTGCACGATTAATGAAAAAAAAAAAAAAAGAGATGAATATTGTTTTAGACACAAAAATCAAATATTTTTTTAATAAATTTTTAAATATTTTTTACCTAAAATGAATTAAAATATCAATCGGTTTGATGATGAAAATTGAGAAAAAAAAAAAATAAATAAAAATAAAATTATTCATAAAATACAATAAACTATATAATTATCCAATTAACCAATGATACTTGTTTTATTTAAATTTAGATATCAAAAGTAAACAAAGAAATTAAAAGAATGAATGAACGAACGAAAATAATAATCGATATTACTTCATATAAAAATTTGATCTCTTTAACGAATCGAATTAAAAAAAGAATATTTCTTTTTTTCTTCTTTACTCGACAATGTTATAATGCCAATGAAATGAAAATGTTAATTACTTTATTAATTGTTAATTATAATTGTCACTAAAGAGTAATGTTATTCGTTGATTAACAAACACAGAAAATACAGGGTAATAGTCAAATTAGATCTGAAAATGCGTTTTATGCTCGTACATACGTACATATATATATATACATATATACATGTATGTTATATATTAGGGATAATAATCGAAATCTCCATTCCGTATATTTATTAATAGTAATAGTGTTAGTATTCACGAAGAGGGAGATTTCTCGTACAGTGGTGTACAAATAATAATACGGACAGCTCGCGGGAACGAGCCATGGAGTTAGGCGAAACGCGATAAGGTATTTTAAATTGCCTGCCATCCATCCAACACGATTCCCTGTCCGCTCTTGACGGCTGTCAGAGGTGTCTCTATCGCGATTGTCGGTGTCACGTTGCACGAATGGCGCGTTTCATTTCGTTCCTCTTCCTCTTCCTCTGAGATAAAGAGAGAGAGAGATAGAAAGATAGATAGAGAGAGAAAAGTTAAGAGAGAGAGAGAGAGAGAGAGAGAGAGAGAGAGATAGAAAGAGATAGAGAAGGGACGATCCATGGCCCATTTCCCTCGTTACCGCATGTTTTCTTTTTTTCCTCTTTTTTTTATTTTTCCTTTTTTTCTATCTTCTTTTTTTCTATCTTCTTTTTTTCTATCTTCTTTTTTTTTTTTTTTTTTTTTTTTTTTTTTTTTTTTTTTTTTTTTTTTTTTTTTTTGCACCGACGATAGATAGAGAAATACAAATCCAAAGCTCATCAATCTCCTTGAAATTTCCCGATCGATAAAACGATTTTATTGCCACTTCACTTTCGTGCGGATTACTTTTGTTAAGGAAAAAAAATAGAATATCAATTTCCCTCTTACCAAATTTTATTTTCTTCTCTTTTCTTTTTTTTTTCTTTTTTTTTTTTTTTTATTTTCTCGTAAATCCGAAAGAGAACATTGACCAAATGTTGATTCCTTATTAACCAACAACTGGTTTTGACGTTTAATCAATCGAATTAATCAGAAATATTCTATTAAATTTATGTTATATGAGATAATAATCTCGCGTCATGATATCGTCAGTTTCGATAAAAATTATGCTGTAATTTTTATAAATGTAAAAAAAAAAAAAAAAAAAAAAGAAAAAAACCATTGTCAAATGATTACACGAGACAACATTTTGTGTGATCATTACATCCAGAGATAGAAAATCGATAGTTTTTCTTTTTTCTTTTTTTTTTTTTTTTTTTTTTTTTCTTTTTTTTTGCGGGATGAGCCATGGGAGGAAGGGGAATGTTATAAAAATTTTGTAGTCTCATCAAAGGCGAGATATGAACTCGCAATAATTACGGGCGATGAACGTTATTAACGTATCTCGTCTGTTCGTTTAAACGAAATTATGGGCCACGCCTATCATCGTCATTACCATCATAATTGCATCGTGTCGTAGACGTTTATCGATCGTTCGTCGTTAAAACGATTGAAACGATTCTTCTCTCTCTCTCCCTCTCTCTCTCTCTCTCTCTCTCTCTCTCTCTCTCTCTTTATATATATATATATATATATATATATATATTCTCTTTTCTCTATCTTTTCTTTTCTCCTCTTCTCTCTTTTATCTTTTTTTTCTATCTCTCACGAACAAGGAAAAATGCTCTTATCTTTCCTAATCGAGTTTAACAGTAGATACGTCTGAAAAGGGGTGGCTAAAGTCGGCCCTTTTATCCGATCTCTAGAACGACGAATCCCGCAGCTTTGTCGACGTCTATTCCTCGTCGAAAAGAAGAAAGAGAAAGTACTACTACGTAGGAACATCGCGTTAAGTTTCGATCTCATCGCTCCCTTGAAGCTCTTGAGCAACAAATGGAAGACATCAAGATGCCAAATCACCGTCTGAGCCTAAGAACGAAAATTCTTGCTCTGCTTTTTAAAATTCTTTTCAAATAAGGATATCTTGTATTTTTTAACACGTCCCTTATCGTGGATCTAGAATCTATTTCTAAATTCGTAGAAAATTTTTATTCGATATTAATAAGTAGATATATAATTTGTATATATACATTGTCTCTAGTGAACTATTGACGTTTCGAAATTATAAAAATCTTTTTTGAATCTTACGATTGAAATACATTTTTCCCAAGTAATATTATAATTATAAGTATATTTATAAAAAAAAAAAAGGAAAAAGTATTGAAGGTAAAAGTTTTTTTTTTCTTTCTTTTCTTTCTTTTTTTTATACTCATCACATATCGTTGACATGCATCATTCGTGATTTGCAAATTATTTTTCGGCGACTTTGTTAAACAAATTTTTCATCGTACTCTGTATAAATTTGTATATTTATATACATATATACATATATAAAGAAAAAAATAAATAAAGAAAAAAATCGATAAAAAAGAAAAGATGCTTCCTATTTACTTCGCTTATTTATAATGTTTAATTAAAATAGCTCTTTAAAAATGATTATCTCGGAGTAAAAAAGTTATTTCATTTTATGTTCATTCTCGTAAGCTTTACTTAAATATTCGATAATGGTGCCTGCAGCATGGTAGAAAAAAAGAAAATATAGCGGTGATGTATATTCTTTGGTCGTTTGCTAGTTCTCAGGTCTCACGATGTTTTCAAGCTTTTTTCCGCTTCTACCTTTTGTAAAATGCGGAAGAAACTCCGTTAAAGTTGGTCGGTCAGTCGTTCGTTCATTCGTTCGGACGGTCGGTCGGTCGGTCGGTATAGTAACGAACGAATTTACGAATAAATTTACATCCCAAGCGAGCTACCAGTACCGTAACATGGAATTTATATCTTAAGTCTGATTCCACAAGGCAAATGTTTCGTCCAATATGAACATCGTCCTCATCGTCCTCTTCGTTGTCCACCTCATCGTCCTCTCTTCGTCGTCGTCGTCATAGTTATAATTCTCTTCTTACTGGAGAATCCTGGAAGACATTAAAATTTATGCCGGTTATTAATATTTCCTTGACTATCTGCGGGCTAGCATAGTAAAACATGGCATCTTCCTTTGATGGGAGAGAGTTAAAAAAAAAAGAGAGAGAGAGAGAGAGAGAGAAAAGAACAAAATGAACAGAACAATGGAAAGTAACAAAGTTTTCTTAACTCTCCAACGATAGGATAATTAAATCATCGATCGTGACGTGATACGTAAATTTTATCGAAGTTGATCAGAATTTTTATGATTAATTAGAAAAGAAGGAAGGTTATTAATTATTGATTGTTAGCGTTATTATTTATATAACAATGCGATAACGATAATTATAACAATTGATATCGATTTCAAAAATATATCCAATACTTAGAAATAGATAATAAATTTTGTTGTTTCTTTCGTCATAATAATGATATTATATATTAAATATCAATTATCATATGTGATATTCATAATAATATTATTCGTTTGGATATACGATTCGAATGATAAAAATCATTCTACTCTTTCGCCATAACTCGTCTCTGAAAAACACCCTTACCCTATCTATTCGCTCTTTGTTTTTTCCTTGAAAGCGAAGCAAAGAATGGGCAAAGAGAAAGTACGCGTGAGATAGGTTTCTGAAGAGATTTATTCGCGGTATATTTAACCCTTCCACGATTTCACGAGTACGCGCGATTCTTTATAGAATCTCGAGTGTAGTCGAAAAGAAGAGAAGAGAAGAGAAGAGAAAAGGGGGAGGAGAAAGGAAAAAAAAAAAAGAAGAAAAAAAAAATAAAAAAAAAAAAAAAATCTCTTGTTGCTCAAAAAGAAAACGAGATTGGTACACGGAGTTTCTGTATCACGAGAAAATAGCTAAATACACGTTCTTGCATACGCTTTATTATTACTTTTGTTAATTATTTTCTATGGGGAAAAGCCGCGGGAGAACGTGACAAAGGAAATTCAAGCATGCAATACGCGCCGCGTACCTCCATAATGTATATAGAATTGTATATAGTATGTACCGCCCAACTCTTCCATTATATATAAAACAATAAATCGTAACTTACAACAATGTAGAATGCGACACGGTGTAGTAGCTTTGAAAGACAACTTTATCAACCCTTAATATATTCACAACGCGCATTCGAAATCTTCTTTGTAGATATATTCATTTTAATATTAATAGATAATAACAAAAGGCAAGAAGCTATTCGAATATTTCTTTCCTTTTCTTTTTCTTTTTCTTTTTTTTTTCTCTTATCGCGTTTTACCAAGCAAATTGATACGATTATTTTTAACGAACAGTTTCGAAAGTAAACATTTTTCTTTACAATTCGATTTTTCTTATTTATTTAAATTTAAATTCTTGACAAATAGCCAAACGCTATAACGATACGATTGAACGATTAAATATCTTTAACACGAATAATGTTTCTTTTTTAAAAATTGTTATATTTATAATGGAATTTGGGAATGCAATCTAAGAAAAAAAAAAAAAAAAAAAAAAGAATAGAAGCTGATCAAAATTACTATTCCATTTCTTTTTCTTCTTTTTTTTCTTTTTTTTTTTCTTTTTCCCTTTTTCTTTTTAAACATTCCTTGCTAGAAACGAACGGAGATAGAAAAAGAGAAAAAAAAAAAAAAAGAAAAAGAAATTGTGTTCGGACGGAAGCATGATTAGAGAGTAACACGAATCGGAACGCGTCGAGCACTTTAAAGAATACAAAGTACCTCTGTTCAATTTACTATCCTTAAATCCAAGCACTTAGTGACAAATTAAGTCCCACCTGCTACCCCTCAGAATATAAACGATCCTTTCGTGCCTTCTCGAGCGAGGGTAAATGTTTGATCGGACATTAGCTTGCCCCTCGGGGAGGAATTAGGTTTAATTGGAGATACGATCGGTGAATATTCGACTATTTAAAAGCCCTTCCAGTCCGGTTGATCAATGACCAACGATTACAGCGCATCGTCCTAATTCCGTGGTTGCGCTGTTCGATGTTTAGAAATCGTCGAGGCTAATTCGTTCCTCTCTCTCTCTCTTTATTTATCGATCTATCTATTTCTACGTATCTCGTATCATGACATTTACGATAAGCACGCACAATACTTGGCTATTTAATGCATTCAAACATTACCAACGAGTAAACGAGCACGATGATAAAAAAAAAAAAAGGAAAAAAGAAAAAAAAAAGAAAAAAAAATGTATTCGAAGAGAAAACTCAATAGAATCGAACGAACAATTAAATGTGCGTGCATCTGCAGTCGGATTAGTAGTCGCTGGGAAATTCTTCTTTTTTTTTTTTTTGCTTTTTATTTTTCGTTCTTTTTTTTTCTTTTTTTTTTTTTTTTTTTTTCTTTTTTTCTTTTCCTCCCATCCATTTTCCCTTGTTACCATCGATTTCAATCTGTCGCGAACATACGTATAAAATGTTCGCTTTTCGTTCGATTTTTAAATTAGACGACGAATTGGTGAAATGTTTTCGTTTAAAAAAAATGATACTTCTTGTTTTTCGATTTTATATTAGCAAAAGGTTTCCTATGTCGGACTATTTCTTTCCCCCTCCCCCCACCCCCACTTCATTCATATTTTTCAATGGAAATTAAATATTCAATGGAAACGACAAATTTTCTGATACACTTTAAATTTATGTGAAAGCATGACGTTAGACGTATACAATGAAACAATACAGTCATTTTACAACAATAAAATTGTCAATAGCTAATGGAAAATGTTATTTTAAAAATTATATTACACTTTTATTTACTATTATATGGTAGTTTAAATTCCGTAATCCAATAAATTAAATGCAACAATGTCCAATTGGTTTGATACAATGGCGAAGTCATGTTTTCACGTAGTTGTTGTTTATTGTTAATCGCTTTATTAATTTTATTAATTTTAAAATAAATTAAAATATTTGTAATCGAGGCAAAATAAAAGAGATCCAATTTTCGGCAATCTCTTTCTCCAATATAATTATAATAATTTCTTATTTTATTTTACTTTCGTTGTAATCGATTTTTCTTTTTTCCTTTTTTGGTTTTCTTTTCTAATTTTTTTCTTTTTTCTTTTTTTTAATATCATCTTTTTAATCATTTTCAGGTGAACGGACAAGATGTTTCTAACTCGAGTCACGAAGATGCTGTACGTTGCTTTCAATCGGCACAAGAACCGATCATCGTTGAGGTCCTTCGAAGACAGCCCTCATCTCATCAGCAACAGATCGTTCACACGCCATCGAGGGAACACGAGAGATCGAGTCACGGAAAGAACGATGGAACGACGAATGAGAAGGAAACGAGTGAGGATGAATTCGGAAAAGAAAATTCTTGTCCTTTGGTATCGACTGCTGTTCAAACTGATTGGGCTGGTTTGGTAGAGGAAGAAGAATTATTATCAGTACCGCTTGGTACCGAAGAACACACCAACGACAGTTTCGAGGATTTTCTTGCACATGACATAGACTTCGAGGTATTTTTCTCGATAGTATTTTTATTACGAATTGTTTATGTATATATATATATATATATATATATATATATATATATACAAATATAAAGTATTATATATATTTATATATAAAATCGTTTATACTAATTCCAATTATTTAATTCTTATAATTTATATCGATAATGAATTATTTTTAAAGTGATTAATTAAAAAAAATTGCATGCAAGGTATTAGTAAATCCTTTTTTTTTTTTTTTTAATTACTAAAATTATGAATTTTTAAATAAATGCAAGAGTAGAGTTTATTCCATTTATCGTATATCTCAAATCATCGACATTCTAAAAGACAGATCCATAATGTTTCAAATTTATTTAACTACAATCGCTAGAATACAATAATAGTTGGTCTCTTTTACTTCTCACTTTTATATTTATCTAAAATCTTTCCTTTAATTCATAGGAAGTAACGTTACGTAAAAGCGGAAGCGCAGAAAAGCTCGGTCTCACAGTCTGCTATAGTTCTGGTTCCGGTAGCGAGGACGCCGACACCGAGGTTTATATTTCAGAAATAGTTCCTGAAAGTTTAGCAGCCCGTGACGGCCGGTTACGGGAAGGTGACCAAATCTTGCGAGTAAGTACGACTTAAATTCAAGAACTTCACGAATTTCTCTGTTTAAATAACTTCTCTGGAATAATACTGAGTATATTTTATTATTTTATAAAATGATAATATATTTTTTTTATCATATATATATATATATATATGATAATTAAATATATATAATTACGAAGATAATCGATTGAAGATATTAAAAATGAAACCACCCTGTATAAAATATCAACGTTGAATTCTCTTTAATCCAAGTACTCTTCTTCCTTTTTAATCCTTTCAAGCTGATTATCATTATTATTTGTTACAAAATCTCTGAATATCTATATATTCTATTTTTTTTTTCGTTTTTTTTTTCATTTTTATTAATTTCTATTAAATTTTTGTGCTTCGATCGATATTAATTATGAATTAATTTTTCTATTCTTCATGTAACAGGTGAACGGAAAAGATGTAGCTAATAAGGAACAAACGGAAAATTTATTCGCCGAGACGAAGAATGCTGTGACTATACTAGTCAGTCGATGTCTTTACCAGGTCCGTTTTGATATAATAAGATATTTTACATAATTACAAAATTATAATGTAATTTTGATTCAATTGATTCAATTCATCTTGATGTTTTTCTTTTTCTTTTACTAAAATAACTATTATCTTACAGGATGATGAATACGACGATAGGCGTA